GGGCGCCCGCGTGGGCGACGCCCTGTCCCGGGCAGCGGTCGCGTGCATCGCGCCGCTCATCGCCGCCAGGTGCGACCCCAACGCCCCGGGCGCCAGCGGCCGGCTGCCGCTGCTGGTCGCCGCCGAGGACCGGGTATAGCCAGGACCCCGGAGAAGGGGACCCGGTTAGCGGAACGGGGCGGGGCCCCAGAGTAGGACCCCGGAGCCCTTGAATTGGCCAGAATCACTTAACCAGGCCTGCTGTAGCTGGTGTTTTCCGGGTGGCGGCAGCTCTGGTTAGCGAAACGGGGCGGGGGGGCGTCCCCCAGTACGCATCATTAAACCGGGTCCCACTAAACCCAGTTCTGCCAATGCCCGAGAGGAGGGCTCCGAGGAGCGCGTGGCCGCGCTGCTGCGTGCGCGCGCCGACGTGGGCCGGCGCGAGGACCTCAGAGCAGGAAGAGGTGCCGATGCGGCGACCACGATCGCTGAGATTCTGGTGTTGCAGCTTTTCCACCACGAGCGTGGTGTCGCCCGGTTTCGGGCCCTGGGCATCCTCAAAGATCGATGCGGCTCGAAAAATGGCGCAGAAAGGTGGGATCAAGTGTTCTGGTCGTGATCTTTCGCGATGTCTCAATTGTTAATAACGTCGGATCTCAGGGATGGGTGTGGTTACGCCAGGGTGTGGATTGTGATCGGCGCCGCTGGGGCTTCGGGGTCGCCACTTTTGCGTCAGAGGTTTGGCGAGCCCTTGTCGGGGCGCGGAAAGGAGATCTCTGTGGATGTCCTCGCCCGCCCCCCCAAAAGAGGCGCGGGTTGCAGACTCCACCTTCGCAAACCACACCCTCCGGGGTCGCCGATCGATGCCGCTGCCGTTCTCTTTTTGGGCCTCCTGGGAGGCCCTGGTCGCCACGGCTGGATCTGCCTCGGAGTTCTGGTCAGTGCGCACCCGAGGAGAGGCCTGGGGAGTAGCGGTATCGGTACCTTCCGAGACATCCGAGATTTTGAATTTCCAATGCAAGGCCCCCAGAAGTCCTGACCTTTTCCTTTGGGCTGGTTCTGCATCCCGAGTTGTTTTTTAACGGTCCCGGGTCTGGCGAAGGCCCCTGGAGGCTGACAATTGCCCAACACATTTTTTCTTGTCGGCTCGAGCATGTCCGAGAATGCACCCTTGGAGAGGTCCAGGGAGTGCAGTCGTGAATTATGGTTTAGCATGTCGCGCCGTCGGTTCTGGCCCATGTTTCGACGCGACACGCCATCCACGTCCCAGTTCCCAAGCGTCAGCGTCCCAAGCCTTCTCGAGTCTCCCGCCCCGCGGAGCAGAGCGACACGCTATCCGCTCGCGAGGGGTAGCGTGTCGCAGGGGCTGCCGCCGCGACACGTTCAGTAACAGTTCCCGAGCGTAAGGAGGATGATGAGGACGAGGAGGAGGAGGAGGACATAGGACGTAGGACCGAGGACAGGAGGAGGAGGAGGCAAAGGAGTTGGAGCATGATGATGATGCTGATGAGGATGATGATGATACGGATGCTTATGATGCTGTTGCTGATGATGATATTACTGATGATGATGCTGATGCTGATGCTGATGATGATGATGTTGATGCTGATGATGATGCTGATAACAATAGCGATGATGACGATGATCATGATAATGGTGATGATGACAATGACGATTCTGATGATGATGCTGTTGATGATGCTGATGATGCTGATGATGCTACTGCTGATGATTATGATGCTGGTGGTTGTGGTGGAGGTGGTGATGGTGGTGATGCTGATGATCCTGATGATGATGATGATGAGGATGAGGATTATGATCAGGTCGTTGAGGATGATGAGGATGATGCTGCTTCTGACGATGATGCTGATGATTACGATGATGATGAGGAGGAAACGGAGGAGCAGGAGGAGGAGGAAAAGAAGGAGGATGAGGAGGAGGGGGAGCGGTATCGGTACTTCTTGGCCCCCCCCGGAGGACGCGAACGGTCGCACCGCGCTGCACGTCGCCGTGAAGGGCAGGCACTTGCCGGTGTGCCGCGCCCTGTTCTGTGAGTTCGGCGCCGACCTGCACGCCGAGGACGCGGGCGGCAAGACGCCGCTGCAGTTCGCGAGGGCCCTCCGCTGGAGCGGCGCCAAGGCAAGGGGGACGACGACGACGACGACGACGACGACGAAGACGAGGACGAGGTCGAAGACGAGGACGAGGACGAGGACGAGGACGAGGACCAGAACGAGGACGAGGACGGCGACGGCGACGAGGACGAGGACGAGGACGGCGACGGCGACGGCGATGAAGACAAGGACGAGAACGAGGACGAGGACGGTGACGAGGACGACGACGACGTCGACGATGACGACGACGACGATGACGACGACGACGACGACGACGGCGGCGGCGGTGGCGGCGGCGGAGATGACGACGACGACGAAGACGTGGACGAAGACGAGGACGACAGACGACCACGACGACGAAGACGAGGACGAGGACGAGGACGGCGACGCCGGCGAGGACGAGGACGAGGACGAGGACAAGGACGAGGACGAGGACGATGACGAGGACGAGGACGAGGACGGCGACGGCGACGAGAACGAGGACGAGGACGGCGACGACGACGACGACGACGGTGGCGGCGGCGGCGGCGGCGGCGGCGGAGATGACGACGACGACGATGACGACAACGACGACGACGAAGACGAGCACGAGGACGAGGACGAGGACGAGGATGAGGACGAGGACGGGGACAAGGACGGCGGGCGAGGACGAGAACGAGGACGAGAACGAGGACGAGGACGAGAACGACGACGGCGACGCGAGGACGAGGATGAGGACAAGGACGAGAACAAGGACGTGGACGAGGACCAGGACGAGGACGGCGGCGGAGACGACGACGACGACGGCGACGACGACGACGACGACGGCGGCGGCGGCGACGACGACGACGCTGCAGTACACGAGGGGCCCTCCGCTGCGGCGGCTCCAAGGCAGGGTCCTCTTCAATCCGATCGATCCGATTCGATCTAAGTTCGGGCTGGGCCGATTTGATACGATTCCGATGCTCCGACGATCCGATGCGGCCCGAGGCTTGCACGGTGGTGTTCTGCATCCTGGCGCATCCGATCCTGTTCGATGTCGACTCCGTGCCGATGCGGCGCGATCCGGCGCACATTTCGATGCGCTCCGACTTGCCGATTCGATGCCGACTGATCCTGCCCAGGAGCTCGAGGGCCTCGAGAAGTCGCGCCAGGAGCAGCAGGCGAGGCTGAGGGCGCAGCAGCGCGAGCAGCTCGCGCTGGCTGTGCGGCACGGCCCCCTGGAGCAGGTGAGCTCGGCAGCAGCTCACGGGAGCCCCGCTGCGGTCGGGATCTTTTGGACAGCGTGCCGCCATGGCCAATGGCGGCCCCGGCGACACGCTGCAGTCAACCCCGCATAGTAAGGAGGAGCGAGTCTCCAAGGCTACTCTTGCGTCTTTCCCTTTCCCTTCGGCACATCCTTGGCCGTTTTCGCTGGCCGCGCCCCGCTCGCAGAGTGTCGACATTGCCTTCCTCGGCCCTTGCATCCTGATCGTGCGTCCTTACCGTACGGGTTGACTGTACGCCCTGCGAGCGGATCGCGTGTCGCTCCCGCTCCGCCAGAGTGGCGGCTCGGAGAGGCTCAGGACGTGGACGCTTAGGGACTGGGACGTGGATGGCGTGTCGCGCCGAAGCGTGGTGGGTCAGAACCGGCGGAGCGACACGCTAAACCAAAGTTCCTTACCGTATGTCCGCGGAATTCCGTTTTCAGAGTGCATCCGCGTGCGTTAATGTCTGGCAGTCGATGAGAAAGCGCCTATTCTGCGTCGACTGGCGCCGATTAGCGTCTATCAGCCTCGATTAGCCCCGCTTCGCAAGAGCCAGCAAGATGGCATGGGAGGCTCATCCTCTTCCTTCGCCGTTTCCTCTTTTTTCCATTTTTTTCTTTCTCACCCTCTTTCGGACGCAACTCCTGGGAGGTCAAATTCTGACTTTGCCCTGGTCCGTTAGCAATCCGGCTTGATCCCGCTTGATCCTGCTTGATCCCGTTTAATCCAGTTTTATCCCGCTCAATCCGCGGCCCAATCCGGCGTAGCAGCCCCCCAATGGGGCTTAATTTTCCCCGTCCTTCCGATGAAGACCTCCCAGTAGTTGCTTCCTAACCTCGGGGAGATTGTTTTTTTATCCTCTGGGGGGTAACGCTCGTTACCCGGGCCTCTCCCCCCCCCCCCCCCCCGTAACGGTAACGCTCGTACGCGGGGGGGGTCTCGGTCTTCCTCTCCAACATGCTGGTGCCCGAAGGCATGCGCACTGTGGTGTGGTGGTCGCAGGCGCACTGTGGGCGCTCGCAGGCCATTGCGGCGCTCGCATGCGCGATGCTGGTGCTTGCGGGCTTTGCGCTTGTACTCGAATCGTCGTCGTCGTCGTCGTCGTCGTCGTCGTCGTCGTCGTCGTCGTCGTCGTCGTCGACGGCGCCCGAAAACGGCCTCCGGAGGCCGAAACAGGCGGCAAACGTCGTCGTCGTCGTCGTCGACCTCGTCGCTCGTCGCTCGTCGATCATCGTCGTCGCGCGCGCGGGCGCGGGCGTGGTGCCGGGACCACGCGGCGGGCTTTGCGCTTGTACTCGAATCGCAAGCCACTGTGGTGCTCTCAGGCAGAGAGTGCTGCTCGCGCGCATACTATGGCGATCGCAGAGCGCCCCTGCTTCGCCATACCCCGCCCAGCCCAAGCGTTACCGTTACCCGGGGGGCACGCCCCCCCCCCCCCCCCCCCCGGGTAACGAGCGTTACCGGCCGGAATAAAAAAATGATCTCGGGCGGGGCTAGAACGAGGATAAATCCGTTTCCGAGCGTTCCTGAACGCTCTCAGAGCGTTCCGGAACGCTCTGAGCAGGCCGCGGCGCGCGAGACATCCTCCAGAGCCGCCGGACTTCAGAGATTCTCGATTTTATCCTTACCCGATGTCGTTCTCGCCCTGGCTTCGTCTTATGACCCTCTCCCCCTCCTCTGCGCGACGCTCCGCCGAGACGGCGCCGTCCCTCGCCGCCTCCCGCGGGCGGCGCCGGGTCGCCGCGCCCCCGCGGCCCAGCACACGAGGCGGAGCGCGGGCGGCACACCCCCGCCCTGGCTCGGGAGGGGAGAGCACCGGTTTTTTTGGTCTGCGGGTCGAGAGCGAGCCTCTTCCGGTGAAGAGCTAGGCGGGCCATCATTATCATCATCATCATCATCATCATCATCATCATCATCATCATAATCATGAGCGTCACCATCATCATCATCATCATCATCATCATCATCATCATCATCATCATCATCATCATAATCATGAGCGTCACCACCATCATCATCATCATCATCATCATCATCATCATGCAAGGGATGCAGAGACAGAGCACAAGACACAAGACAACGACGGAGGTTGGGGGTGTGAGCGGAAGCAGCCCCAAACGGGAAGTCGGTATCGGTTTCGGTTCGTGTCGGGCGTGCGGGCGAGGCGAAGCTGCGCGAGTTCCTGCACTTGTAGAGGCCACGTGAAGCCCCAAAGGTCGCCCGCCCCCCTCACCCGGCCTGGCGCGGCCCCCGATGATTGTCCCGATGGTTGTCCCGATGATTGTCCCGGTGGTTGGCCCGATGGTTGTCCCGATGGGTGTCCCGATGGGTGTCCCGATGGTTGTCCCGATGGTTGTCCCGATGGTTGTCCCAATGGTTTTTCCGATGGTTGTCCTGACAGTTGTTCCGATGGTTGTCCTGACGGTTGTCCCGACATTGTCCCGATGGTTTTCCCGATGGTTGTCCCGATGGTTGTCCCGATGGTTGGCCCGATGGTTGTCCCGACGGTTGTCCGGATGGTTGTCTCGATGGTGTTGTCCCGATGGTTGTTTTGAGGGTTGTCCCGATGGGTTTCCCGAGGGTTGTCCCGACGGTTGTCCCGATGGTTGTGCCGATGGTTGTCCCGATTGTTGTCCCGACGGTTGTCCCGATGGCTGTCCCGATTGTTGTCCTGATGGTTGTCCCGATAGTTGCCCCGATGGTTGTCCCGATGGTTGTCCCGATAGTTGTCCAGATGGTTGTCCCGATGATTGTCTCGATGGTTGTCCCGAGGGTTGTCCCGATGGTTGTCCCGATGGTTGTCCCGATGGTTGTCCCGATGGTTGTCCCGACGGTTGTCCCGATGGTTGTCCCGATGGTTGGCCCGATGGTTGTCCCGACAGTTGTCCGGATGGTTGTCCCGATGGTGTTGTCCCGATGGTTGGCCCGATGGTTGTCTGGATGGTTGTCCCGATAGTTGTTCCGATGGTTGTCCCGATGGTTGTCCCGATGGTTGTTCCGATTGTTGTCCCGACGGTTGTCCCGATGGTTGTCCCGATGGCTGTCCCGATTGTTGTCCCGATGGTTGTCCCGATAGTTGCCCCGATGGTTGTCCCGAGGGTTGTCCCGATGGTTGTCCCGATGATTGTCCCGATGGTTGTCCCGATGGTTGTCCCGACGGTTGTCCCGATGGTTGTCCCGATGGTTGTCCCGATGGTTGGCCCGATGGTTGGCCCGATGGTTGTCTGGATGGTTGTCCCGATAGTTGTTCCGATTGTTGTCCCGATGGTTGTCCGGATGGTTGTCCCGAGGGTTGTCTCGATTGTTGTCTTGATGGTTGTCCCGATGTTTGTCCCGATGGTTGTCCCGATGGTTGTCCCGATGGTTGTCCCGATTGTCGTCCCGATGCGATGGTTGTCCCGATGGTTGTCCCGATGGTGTCCCGATGGTTGATTCCTGATGGTGGATTCCTTTGTTGGCGGCTCCTTCTCTCCACCCCCTTCTCCTCCTCCTCCTCCTCCTCCTCCTCCTCCTCCTCCTCCTTGTCTTCCTCCTCCTCCTCCTCCTCCTCCTCCTCCTCCTCCTCCCTCCTCCTCCTCCTCCTCCTCCTCCTCCTCCTCCTCCCCCTCTCACCCTCCTCCTCCTCCTCCTTCTCCCCCTTCCCCTCCTCCTCCTCCTCCTCCGCCTCCTCCCTCCTCCTGCTCCTGCTTCTCCCCTTCCCCTCTCCCCCGCCTCCTCCTCCTCCTCGCTCGGCTCCTCATCTGGCTCCTCCCCCTGATCCTCCTCTTCCTCCTTCCTCCTCCTGCTCCTCCCCCTTCTCCTCTTCTTCTCTCCCCTCCTCCTCCTCCCTCTCCTCCTTCCTCCCCCTCCTCCTCCCCTCCTCCTCCTCTCCTCCTCCTTCCTCTCCTCCTCCTCCTCCTCCTCCTCCTCCTCCTCCTCCTCCTCCTTCCTCCTCACCCTTTCCCCTCCTCCTCTTCCCCTCCCCCTCCTCCTCCTCTCCCCCCCTTCCTCCTCCTCTCCTCTCCTTCCTCCTCCTCCCCCTACTTTCCCCTCCCCTCCCCTCCTCCTCCTCCTCCTCCTCCCTCCTCCTCCTCCTCCTCTCCTCCTCCTCCTCCTCCCCCTTCCCCCTCCTCCTTCTCCTCCTCTCCTCCCTGTTCCTCTTCCCCCTCCCTCCTCCTCCTCCTCCTCCTCCTCCTCCTCCTCCTCCTCCTCCTCCTCCTCCTCCTTCTCAGCCAGTTTGCGCTCGGGCGCGCCCCCTTTCGCCTGCAGGAGGCCCCGAGTGTACTGACACTTAGACTTCAGAGTGGCCACGAGTGTCGGAGCCAACGGATGCTTGCCAGCAAGAGCAATGGCAGCAGCAACGCGACGTGGCGGTGCGAGCCGTGCAGCGTCAAGAATGGATCGAAGTACAAGTACTGCTGGAAGTGCTGGAGTGCACGCCCGACAGCAGCAGCCGCAGGATCTTCCAGCGCGGCGGCAGGAGAGGCCTCCGAGGACAAATGCCACGACGAGAAGCTCGCCAAGGTGCAGCACTACCGTGCCAAGCTGGCCGAGCTCAGGAAACTCGCCGAGGACCCGTTCCTGGAGGAACCACTGCAGCCGCAGGTGGCACAGCTCGAGGACAAGCTCGCCGCCGAGCAGGCATCATTGGAGACGGGAGTGCCGCGCTGCTTCACCGATTGCAAAGTGGTGCGAGACAGGAACAGGGTCGCGGAGCAGAAGAACAAGTGCCATCAGAGGGTCGACGCGCTCCAGGAGCAGAGGGACGCGCTCGACGAGGAGCTTGCCGACGAGAAGAGCAAGCTGGGCAAGTTCGACAGCAAGCTCGAGACCCTGGACAAGAAGATCAAGGAGTTGTCCGTCCCCGCCCCAGGGAAGGGATGGGCGGCAGCGCTCGCCTTCCTGGAGCAGGCGGAGCGCTGCCTCGGCGACGACGGGAGCGAGAAGCGGGAGCAGCTTGTCGCCGCCGTCGCCCACGCCAAGGAGCAGAAGGCACAGGAAGAGGAGCGGGCCAAGCAGCACGCCGAGCGCCTCCAGCAGAAGGCCAGGGCGGAGCAGGCCCGCGCAGCCCAGGAGCGGGCTGGCAGCGCCGACAACCGCAAGCGCAGCTGCCCCGAGAGCCCCATCAAGGAGGACCTCCTCGAGATTCCCGCGGGCGCCAGCGAGCAGGACATCTGCAAGGCGCTCGTCGACGTGGGGGTCACGCCCGACCAGGCTGGCAAGGTGGTTGCTCCTCTTAAGCTGCTGGTGGGCGAGCTGCAGATTGGCCACGCCCTCACCATCAGCAAAACCCAGTGGGTGCAGCAGCAGCGGGGGTAGCGGCGGCGCTAACCGCCGCTGCCCGAAGGGGCGACTCGCCGTGTACATGGTCAACGCCAGCACCGTGAGGTCGCTGGAGCGAGTGATGAAGCAGATCAGGGACAGCGACCAGGACGCCATCGTCCTGGGCCAGGAGCTGCAGGCCAGCGGCACGCAGCTCGACCTCCTCCAGACCCGCGTGCGCAGAGAGGGCTGGGACATCGGTGTAGTGAGCAGCGCGAAGGCCACAGCTGGTCACAGAGCTGGAGTTTCGATAGCGACGCCACGGAGTAGGGGCATGGACTTCGTGCGCAAGGGGATCAACCAGTGGGGCATCAGCCCGCGAGAGTCCAAGGGGAGACTCGCCGTGGCCTGGGTCGACGCTTACAGTAAGGAGGGGCTCGTGCTAGGTACCGCGTACCTGTGGAACAGCGAGGGCCCCACGCAGAGAAACCGGCGCATCCTGGCCAAGTGGGGCGCCGCCATGAATGTGATCCAGAAGGAGTGGATCCTCGATGGCGACTTCAACATGGACCCAGAGCTGCTGGAGCAGTCCGAGATCGTCCGCAAGATGAACGGCGTCATCGCGCGAGACACTCAGCAGGGGAGCTGCCTGAAGCAGGACGGCACGAGGAGCACGCGTGACTACTTCATCGTCTCGCGCGGCTCGGCTGCACACGCGCTCAAGGTAGAGGTCCAAGAAGGATACAACATGTCGCCGCACTTGCCCGCCAGGATGAGGGGCCCAGTGCACCAGCAGAGCGACTACATGATGAACGTGCTGTGCAAGCGGACGCCATGGCCGCTGACGCGGCCAACGGGCTGCCCCTCGCAGCCAGTGCGATGGCCAAGGCCGCTCGCACACAGGAACTACACTCAGAGCCAGATCGACGGCCACTGAAGCGAGCTCGGCGAGTCCTACGAGAAGCACCTCAACAGGTACCGCAGCTTCGAGGGCGACGACTGGAGCAAGCGACAGGGCCACTTCGAGAAGGCCAACTACAAGCAGAAGCCGCGCAGGCCCATGCCCTGCACCGCGGCACAGGAGCAGCTACGCAGCCACGACATCGTCATGCCACTGTTCGCGGAGCGGGCACCTGGGCAGATGGCCGAGGCAGGCTACGACACGGGCGAGGAGGACGGGCTGCTGGAGTCGGAGGACGCCCCTCGGGAGGAGGCGGAAGGGGTACAGGACCGCTTCGCGGTCAGAGCGCCTCCCACCGAGGGCCAGCAGGACCCCAATACTTGGAATGCGATTCGCTGGCCGCTCATCGTACACACGTTGCGAGACTGGCGAGTCGCAGACATCGACGAGCGCGCCCAGAACTACCTGGGTCTCATTGCCACGCTGCTGGACCCCGCCAGCAGGAGGTACTGGAAGATGGTGCGCCGAGCGACCGCAGCGCAATGGCGGCAGTGGGTCACCACGCACGGAGAGCGAGGAGCAGAGGGCGCGGAGGGCAAGACTGTCACCATGGCCTCGACCACCGCGCTGCAGGACGGCCTCGCCAAGAGAGTGCACCCGCTCGGCATCAGGATGGTGAGGCACGCCGACCACCTCGGCGTTGCCACCGCGGCCGGCAGGAGGAGACGAGTTAGCGCCTTCAGCAAGAGGGCCAGCAAGTACGCAGCGCGGCGAGATCGCATCGCCCGCATACGCCGAGCAGGGGGACCTGCGCAGGCGATCATCAGACAGAGAAAGGTGCCGTCGGCGATGCACGGGGTGCAGGTCATGGGCATGCCCAACTCCACCCTTGCGTCCCTGCGGCAGAGCGTGGCGACCTCATTCAGGGGTAACACCATGGGGAGATCGTCGCCGCTCACGCTGCTCGCGCAGGGCGCCGACCCCGCCATCCGCGCCAACACGGAGCCACTGGTCAATTTGGCCATGGCGTGGCAGGAGGTAGCCAACAAGGACGGCCTCGCGTGGAAGAAGTGGGTACTACGTGTGGGGCGAGCCAGAGCCCCATGGCAGAAGGTGCGAGGGCCCGCAGGGGCCTCCATCGCTACGGTGCAGAGGCTGAGCTGGAAGACGCTCGCGGCCCACAGCATCACCATCGGCGACGAGCGCTTAGACCTCAGGACGCTGCCGCTCAGACACCTGAGGCAGCGCATCAGCACGGCCACGGAGAACGGCCTCATGAGCGACTGGCTGCGCATACACGGCGAGAAGCACGGCCTGGACAGCCTCTTCGTGGAGCCCGTCGCCGCGCTGCTCAAGAGGCCGCTGAACAAGAAGTGGACTCTGGAGCACCAGACACGGGTGCGCAACCTGCGGTGCGGCGGCACCTGGCCGCAGCGGCGGCTCTTCGACAAGGGTGCCGCAGAGGGCAGCATATGCAAGGCCTGTCACGAGCGCGAAGGGACGGGCCGCCACAGGACGTTCGTGCGCTCAGCCAGGCAGGATCACCGACGACGAGTGGGAGGGCACCACATATGCCAGCGTGGTGCCATGACGTGGCCTGGAGCGACGGAGAAGCAGCGCGCGACCTCCGAGGCGCTCCGGGGCAGAGGGCTCGCAGCGGACCAGCGCTGGAGTATGGCCTCTGGAGCCTGCCATCCGCATCCACATGCGAGGTGGAGGGCACCTTCGACGGCCTCGCGCACGGGGACATCTGCACAGACGGCAGCCTGCTGTACGGGGCATACCCAGCGCTGAGAAGAGGTGGCTGGGCCGTCGTGAAGCTCGACAGCGAGCGCATGATGGAGTTTGCGTTGATCGGGCCACTGGGGGGATCGCAGCACGACCAGTCGACCTACAAGACCGAGCTGGCAGCGGTCCTCCAGGCCCTGAGGAGGGCGGTGCCTCCAGTGCGGGTCTACAGCGACTGCCAGTCGGTGATCGACGGCTGCGCCAGAGGCCCCGAGTGGGCCGCCAGAGTTGACACGACCCACAAAGAGGTCTGGCAGGAATGCTGGCGGCTCGAGCAGGAAAGCGGCGGGATCGGTGAGCAAGGGGTGAGCTTTTGTAAAGTCCGAGCCCGCGCCACTAGGGCCCAAAGAGCCATGATAGGGCCCCAACAGTTCATTGGGCATAAAATAGCTGACGCCTACGCATAGCGTGGGGCGCAAATGCACCAGCACGAAGCCTGGTACAGGGCCGCGTATGTCCAGAGGTTCCAGTTGGTCTTAGATATTCTGGAATTCGCCGCGCACGTCGGGGTTCTCGGTCACGGGCTCGAGGACACCTCCGAGGGCCCTGGGCCCTCTGGGGCCCAGGGCAGCCCCGCCCCCGCCCCGACGCCCAGTGAGGGAGTGGAGAGCCCAGCTGGCACTCCACCGCCCTCACAGGGCCCTGTGGACCTCCTCCCTGGCCTCCCGTGGGGCTCGGAGTGTTGATCCAGCGGGCCCAAGCCGAAGGCCACCAGACGGTGCGCCTGCAAGCGGTAGTATTCTGTCGGAAGTGCGCAAGGTACGCCACAAGCCGATGGAGGGGTCTAAGGACCAGCTGCCCTGGGGGAAATCCTCGGGTCCTTGCTGGGCGTTTGTACCGTTTGTGGCAGGGCAGACACCCCACCACGAATCAGTGTTTCGGAGGCCTCAGATTGCCCAGGACAGGCCTGGGATGAAGGGCACCTCCGTTTTCGAGCGTAGTCGCCTCGCCTTCGGCCGATTCGACTATCCGTTGCGAGCGAATCCTCAGCGAATCCTCCTCCTCCTCCTCCTCCTCCTCCTCCTCCTCCTCCTCCTCCTCCTCCTCCTACTCCCCCTCCCTCCTCCTCCTCCTCCTTTCCTCCTCCTCCTTCTTTCTCCTCCTCCTCCCCCTCCTCCCCCTCCCCCCTCTCCCTCCTCCTCCTCCTTCCCCTCCTCCTCCTCCTCCTCGTTCCTCCTTCTCCTCCTGCTCCCTCCTTCTCCTGTCCCTCCTGTTCCTCCTCCTGATCCTACTCCCCCCTCCTTCTCCTCCTCCTTCTCCTCTTCCCTCCTCCTCCTCCTCCTGCTCCTTCTCCTGCTCCTCCTCCTCCTCCTCCTCCTCCTCCTCCTCCCTCCTCCTCCTCCTCCTCCTCCTCCTCCTCCCCCTCCTCCTCCTCCTCCTCCTCCTCCTCCTCCTCCCTTCTCCTCCTTCCTCCTCCCCCTCCTCCCCTCCCCCTCCTCCTCCTCCTCCTCCTCCTTCTCCTCCTGCTCCCTCCTTTTCCTGTCCCTCCTGTTCCTCCTCCTGATCCTACTCCCCCTCCTTCTCCTCCTCCTTCTCCTCTTCCTCCTCCTCCTCCTCCTCCTGCTTCTTCTCCTGCTCCTCCTCCTCCACCTCCTCCTCCTGCTTCTTCTCCTGCTCCTCCTCCTCCTCCTCCTCCGCCTCCACTTCCTCTCTACGCTGCATCGACGTCAACCGAAGCTCCCCTGGGCTGCCACCGAAGGTGCGGGACCTGCTCCAGGCGGCCGGCGCTGGGCTCCGCGAGCCGCTGGGGGCGGACGTGATGGCGGAGCCGAGGAGGCTCAACGCGCGGCTGCCGCTGCACGCGGCGGCGGCGCGGGCCGTGCCGGCGGAGCTCGGATGAGGAAAAGGTGCTGATGCCGTCGGATCAGAGGTATATGATCGAGGTCGGTTCTGTGAGGGTTCCTTGGTGTTCTTTGTGTTAGTTGGACGTTTTGTGTATCCTGGGAGAGGGTACCCTTCGACGTTCTGTGCGATTTGGCCTGGGTGGGCGTTCATGTCCTTGAAGGGTGGTCTTCCCGCCTAGGCCCGACTGTACCACTCCCCTGCCTCTATTTCGCCTTGTCGGGCCTCCTGGGAGGTCCTCGTCGCCACCGTTGGGATTCGCCTCGGAATTCTGCTTCGAACGCACCCTGGGAGAGGTCCAGGGAGTAGTTAGCGGTAGAGCTCGAAGAACAACACTTCCATGCACATGAACGGTCGACGGTCCGCGCGGATGTTTTGGATCTGTGTCCGGCCTCCCTGGCGGGGCCTCCGGCGCCGCCCCTGGCGCGAGCCAGGGAGGGGGCTCCAGCAAAGATCCAAGACATTCGCGCGGACCATCGAACGTTTGTGGTCGCTGTCCCGCTGTCCCTCCAGCGCTGTGTCTCTCATCTGGCCCTCGCTCGCTGGCCCCTCCTGGAGCCCTCGTTCGGTGCCGCTGCTTCCTGGGAGTTTGCGCTTGACTCGTTCGTACCCACGTCCAAAACCAAGCCAAAAGTCGAACGTTCGTTGTGTTTGCGCCGTTTTCTCTTCCGCCAGGAGCAGGGCGGCGCGCTCGAGGCGTGCCGGCTGCTCGTCGGGGAGGGCGGCCTCGACCCGGGCGATCGCATAAGGAGGAGGAGAAGGAGGAGGAGGAGGAGGAGGAGGAGGAGGCCGAGGACGAGAAGGAGGAGGAGGAAGAGGAGGTAGGAGGAGGAGGAGGAGAGAGGAGGAGGAGGAGGAGGAGGAGGAGGAGGAGGAGGAGGAGAGGGGGAGGGGAGGGGAAGGAGGATGAGGAGAGGAGGAGGAGGAGAGGGGAGGAGGGAGGAGGAGGAGGAGGAGGAGGAGGAGGAGGAGGCCGGAGGAGGATGAGGAGGAGGAGGAGAGAGGAGGAGGAGGAGGAGGAGGAGGAGGAGAGGAGGGAGGGAGGAGGAGGAGGAGGAGCAGGAGGAAGCGCTCAACGTCAAAAAGAGGTGCCGACGCCGCTGCTCGTTCTGGGGAGCTCTCGTCTGCACTGCCGGGTTCTCCCCAGAGGTCTGGTCATTCGGGCCGGCTTGGTGGGGGGTGACCTAGTGGGGAGTGAAGGAAGGGGCCTTTCTTGGGGCCAGCAGGGGCCCTAAAGGGCCCCTTTAGAGCTCTTTTCTCCCCTCCATTTCGCTCACCCCCCATTACCACCCGCCCGAGTCACAGCGCACCCTCGGGAGATAGGTCTGGGGAGCAGCGGCGGCAGCGGTGCCTTGTTGCCTCCCCAGGCGAGCGCAACGCCGCGGGGCAGACGGCCCTCTTCGAGGCCGCCGCGGCGGGCCATGCCGAGGTCTGCGAGTATCTCGCCGCCCTGCCAGGCGGCGGCGGCGTCGACGCCGCCGACCTGGACGGCCACACGGCCCTCTTCAATGCCGCCCGCTGCGGTCGCGCCAGCGCGCTCGGCAGGCTGCTGGAGTGCAGGGCGGACGTCTCCCTGGCGGACAAGCAGCAGCAGACGGCCCTCTTCCCCGCCGCCCGCGCCCCAGCGGGCGCCGTGGACTGCATCGCGCTGCTGCTGGCGGCGCGGTCCAGGCCTGGCGCGGTGGACAGCCTGGGCCGCACCCCGCTGTCGTACGCCGCGCAGTTCGGCCTGGACGAGGCCGTCCGTGCGCTGGCCTCCGCGCGCGCCAGCGTGAACACGCCGGACCCCAGAGGAGGAACAGGTACCGATTTCGCTTCCCTGGCCTCGTTTGCACCTTGCTGGGCCTCCCGTCAGGTCCTCGTCGCCTCGGCGGGACTCGCATCCATAAAAAAAGCCTCGTCCGAGCGCACCTCCCCTGGGGAGGTCCAGAGAGCTGCGGTGTCAGCACCTTTCTTTGTTAGGGCCACCACGAGGGTGAGAAGATGAGCCGCGCTTCGCGGCCTGGGCGACTTCAGAGCGAGGCGCGACACCCCCATCCTATTCCGGGGGGGGCGGCGCAAAAGCGTGAAGCAAGCGCGGAGATTAGTTGCCCTGGTTTTTGGTTCCCCCAGGATTAAGTCGGGCATGTCCCTCTACAGGAGGAACGAACATTCAAGACCAGTAAGAAACAGTCAGGGGGCGGTCTTTGCGTGCATTTGTCTTGAGTGTTTCTGACTCTGTCTAACTTTTTCTGCAAGAGTCCGCCTGCAGGGGAACATGGCCGACCTGACCCCAGGACCGAGGAGGAAGGTCTGCGCTGTTCTTCGCCGTGCGGGAGACGCGCGTGCAGATGGCGGCGCTGCTGCTCCAGGACCTCGGGGCGCGGCCGCCCGGCCGGGGCGACCCGAGGACCTCTGGGCCTCCCGGATGGGGCTCGCGCAGATGGCGTCGGAGGATCGCGCCGCAGCGCCGGTGCATCGACGATGTGGCTCGATGTTCAAGGGAGGAATCCTCCTCCTCCTCCTCCTCCTCCTCCTCCTCCTCCTCCTCCTCCTCCTCCTCCTCAAACTTCCAGACCGGACAACTGGCGTTGGCGAAGCGGCCCCGGGCGATCACTAGACAGCCCCTGCCCTGCTCGATTCCTTCCTTGGGCGCGCTTACTCAACAGCTTCGAGTGTCGGGGTGGTTATCATGGGGGTGGATTTTCTGCCCTCTAGATGTGGAGCCTATGCTTCCCCACGCTGGCGTCGCCGATGCAACGGCGGTGCGGCGCGATCCTTCGACCCCATCTACGCGGACCCCATCCAGGAGGCCTCTAAGGATGGAGGACGACGGCCGTGGCAACAGCGACCTCTTCGACATGGCGCGCGACCGCGGCTACTCGGAGCTGGTGCTCAGCATCGTTGAACCGACCAGACCCCTATGTGGGGATGCAGGATGTTCCCTTCGGGTCTCGAGTGGTAGATTCCCTACTGGGATGCTGAGATGGTGGGGGTCTGGTCGCTTCACCGATGCTTAGAAGAAGAAAGCATGCCATAAACATAAGATTTGGCCGCTCCGCGCGCACTTCTTGGATCCGCGCTGGGGCCCCCCCCGGCGGCGCCCCTGGCGCCGTCCCTGGAGCGCTCCGCGCGCCAGGGAGGGGGGTACAGCGCAGATCCAAGAAATCCGCTCGGAGCGCCAACAGTTTATATTTATGGCGTTTTTTCTTCTTCTAAGCATCGTTCGTTGAAGCGATCAGACCCCCACCATCTCAGTATCCCAGCATGCAGGGGATATACCCCTTGAAACCCGAAGGGCACGCCCTGCATTCCTATCCAGGGGGGTTAATCGGCCAACGGGGCCCAGGCCGCGTTCATGGGGGTAGGGGTCGGTTAGACGATGCTCAGGTGCGCATGATGGAGGATGCCTCCCGCAGGCACCAGGATCAGGGGCAACGTCAGGGTGGGGATAGGCTCAAGGGGCATGCCTCGATCGCCAATCGCCATTGATCGTTGATTTGGGCCCTATAGCCCACCCCGCCCAGGAACTTGCGGACTTGCTATCGGGGGCCCTGTTGCCGACGAGTCTGCGTTGTATCGCCGATTCCAGGTTGATGTCTGTCTCCCCCTGAGCCGGCCCCGCCCTAACGCTTCGGAGAAGAAACAAGTACGTCAACACAACTTTCGACGGTCCGCGCAGATCTCTTGGATTTGTGCTGAACTCCCCTGCGCCGGGGGCGGCGCCAGGGAAGGGGGCTCCAGCGCAGATCCAAGAAATCCACACGCGGATCTTCGAGAGTCCAACTCTGTGCACTGTCTCGAGACTGCTCCTCCGAGAGGAGCGGATGGCGCTGCTCGATGTGCTGCTGAGGGCCGTCCGGGAGGGCTCCCTGGAGGAGCTCGACGGCCTCCTCGCGCAGAAGGCCAGCGTCCACGAGGCGGACGGCGCGGGGCTCACGCTGCTCCACCTCGCGGCCGCCCGCTCCGACGCGCGCGGCGAGGGGTGCTGCCGGAGGCTCCTCGAGGCGCGGGCAGACGCGAGCGCGCAGGACTCGTGGGCAGGAAGCGTATCTCTTCAAAGGAGGGAAGGGTCCCCCAAACCCCTCCCCTCCCCTCGTTTTCCCCTTCTGTGGCCTCCTGGGTGGGCCTCGTCACAACCGCTGGATTCGCCTCGGGATCATGGTCAGGACGCACCCCGGGAGATGTCCGGGGAGTAGCGGTATCTGTAGTTACCTTGTGGTTCCCCCATCTCCAGGCCTCCCAGATGTGGTCCGAGCAGAGGGGGTCGGAGGATCTCGCCGCATCGCCGGTGCATCGCCGATGCAGCTCGATCTGGAGCCCGCTTCTTTCCACGCCGACGGCGCCGATGCGTCGCCGCTGTCGCCGATGCATCAGCGCTGCGGCGCGATCCTCCGACCCTACTTACTCGGACCCCATTTGGCAGGCCTCTAGTGTCCATATCTACGGCATCGCGGGCTGGGCCCTGGGGCCACGACCCCATGGGTACGGGGCGTGTTTTCGCGGATACCCTGCGCGGAATGTATCCATGCGATCGCGTATCCGCTGGGTCGTGCATTGGAGTCTAGACAGCAGGGGGACGATACCGAAACCGCCCCTCCACGGGCGTCTCCCAGGGTGCGTTCCGACCAGGATTTCGAGGCGAATCTACGTTGGCGACGAGGGTTCTCCCCAGATCTGATCTGGATTTTCTTTAATACGAGGTCACGGGAAGTCCCGAACCTTTCCCAGGCCCAGTTCTTATCCCGCGTTTCGCTTTTCGACGGTCCCGGGGCACGCCGAGGGCCCTGGAGAGGCCGCCAGCGGCCAAAAAAACCTCCCGCCGCGAGTTCTGCCGGGGCGCGAGCACGTCTGGGTGTTTTTTCCTCCCCTGGCAGAACAACGAGCTGGAGGAGTCGCCGCTCTTCGGCGCGGCCCGCGGGGGCTCGGAGGCGGCGCTGGTCCTGCTGCTCGACGGCCGGTGCGACCCGCGGCTGAGGAGCCGCCGGGGCGAGACCGCGCTCTTCGCGGCCGCGCGCGCAGGCCTGCCACGCGTCGGTCGCGCCGAGACACGCTTGCCTGGAGGAGGAGGAGGAGGAGGAGGAGGAGAAGGAGGAGGAGGAGGAGGAGGAGGGGGAGGAGGAGGAGGAGGGGGAGGAGGAGGAGGAGGAGGAGGAGGAGGAGGAGGAGGAGGAGGAGGAGGAGGAGGAGGAAGAGGCCCCCCATGTAGTGCCCGTTATCGCCGCGAATTCAAAGCTGCTCTCTGAATGCTGCGTGTGCGTCGGGCCCCTCGTCTGACGCTTGCGCGGCTCACCTTTTTGGAGAGGGCGGGGGGTCCGAGATGGTCCAGCGCTGGTTCCAGCGAGCAAGAGGAGGGGGGGGGGGGCAAGGTTCGAGGTTCTGGGTTCGACGACGTTTCTTTGCCTTTTTCGGTCTCCACGGCCGGGGCCGATGTCGGGCCCCGGGGCCGTCCAAAACGGATCCAGGGCGCAACGTTGCGCGAAGTTGCCAGCTCGGCTCTGACCTTTCTGTCGTAGGCAACTACCACTCCCCGCATCCCCTGCTCACTCTTCTGGAGTGCATGCAGCGTACTCTGCGATGGCCGAACGCTCCCCGTGCTCCTCGCGGCCCGATCGTGCAGCAGCGCAACGAGGAGACGAACGCCAAGTCTCATCTGCCGGCGCGGCCAGGCCGCTGTGCCGCCCCGGTTGGTAGCGAGCGGCGCTCTCGTGCCCAGGCCTTTCCGCCGCCGACGCCGCGCCCGCCATCCTCGCCAATGTGCCGCACTCGGTTTCCCCCCTGGTCTCGGCCACCACGTCCACGCGGAGGCGCCGAGGATTAAAAGCAGGACGGCTATCAAAACCGAGAGCGTACACGATGAATGGGCCTACATAGAAGATAAGGACATGCACGGCAGCCAAACACACCGTACTTTGACGCTTTATTCGACGAGGTACGCATACCGGCGTGTACCACGGCGTTCGAGCAGCTGCTGCAGACCCTCGACAAGATTTTGGACGAACACGTGCACAACGACGGATCTACATACTCGACGTGGGCAAGCACGGCACTCCCATAGCGTACTGCGACGTTCTTCTCGACGAGATCCTTACGCCAGCGTGCACCGAAACATTCGAAGAGCTACTGCAGGCCGCCGACGAGAATTTCGCAGGGCCCGCACAAGAGTCCGCGACCTCAGACGCTGCACGTAGGATTCCACTAGCACCCCAATTTGCTGCTAGATGATCGGCCCGGTCGTTCCGGAACTGCGCTGTGTGGGACTCCACCTTCTGCCAGATCACCCACTGGGCGACTTGATCAAAAATGTGGCGCGCGTTCCGGACAAGCCTGATGTTGCACCTGGCCCGAGCGCGCCGCCGTGCCACGTTGGCGGTGCACTCAGAGTCATATTCGAGGATGGTCCGCAGCGCCACTGGTGGAGAAGGTGGTGCCGAAGACCGCGTTATCACATGATCACGGTTCCAAGGTCAGGCAACAACACATCAGATCTTTCGCCCGCGTTGTTGCTGTAGCGGGGGGGCCCAGATGAAACGAGGGTCATTCGGGTCGAGGGCGGTGGGGCCTCAGAAGTCCAGCAAGCTCGTCGACGCCGCGTTGGCCACAGTGAGTCCCCGGCCAGAGACGGGATCTTCGCGCGATAACTCCGCCGAGACGTCGCAAGAGAGCGTGATCACGTCGGGCGCTGTGAAGTAACCGGGAGCAGGTTGCAGGGGAAGCTGAAGATCGCGAAGGCCCCCGCGCTTTCCATTTTGAACGCCAGCGCGTGTTTCACGCGAGGGAGAGGAGGAAGAACCGTGCGATGCATGTCAGCAGCGACACAAGCAAGCAGCTCACCGAGTTCGAGACGAACAGGTCCTCCGTGACGAGCAGCAGCAGCAATCGTGGCAATGGCGTTGACGCGTAACAAATTCCCCGATATTGCCCGCGCCACATCAACAAAGGACATTGCACGCTGGAGACAAGCCGCAGACATCGCTAGTGCCCGGCAGAAACAAGCCTCAGCGAACGAGGCATTGAGGCAGGCCCCGTAGAAAGACATTGCCTGGCACACGGAAGTCAAGAACCCACCGTTTGGCGGCGTTGCCAGGGCACGCCCATGACGATGCCGAACAGTTCCCCACGTTCGCGCCGCAGCAGGCGCAGGTGTGGTCGTAGTTGTGGAGGGGGATATCGGCGACAGTCGCTGCCGTCCACAGCCCAGCTGTCGACGGGGAGGGGCCGCCGAAGTGCAATTGGGCCCAGTGCGCATGCTCCCGTGCCTCCCTCACCTCCAGGGGCCCGTTCTCGAGCCCCCTGTTCTCCTCGGGCTCGCGCGCGGCCTCCTGGGGGGCGGCGCAGAAAAACACTAAGATCTCGCAGCCGCGCGTCAACATGAGCTGCCTTCTCGAGCTCTGGCGCCGCCGCGCGCTGGGTTCGCTGGAGCAGCCCAGCTGGCATGGTGAAGTCAGATGCGGCGCCCCGCAGCAGATTGCGTCGTCGGCGTGGCCCACTTGATATCCAAGACAACAAGCACGTTGAAGAAGAACGATAGGTCCAAATCGAAGACGATTTCGTCGGTGCCATAACATCTTCCAGACAGGGAAAGGCATGATGTTCGACGGCACCATGCGGAAGAACAGCCGCCTGGCGGCGAGGGCGGCCGCGCTTGGCACATGTTTTCGGTGTAGACTTGGGCCCAAGACTTGCGTAATCTGCCTCGGTCGTCGGTCGCGCAGTCGCGCCAGGCGGCGCGGGGCGCGCGGGCGCAACGGCCGCGCGGAGCCGCCGTCGGCTCAAAGGGCCGCCGCTGTGTCAGCCGCGCAGGAGCCGCGCTGAAAGCGCGGCGGCCTCCTGGCCGCGCCGAGCCGATCGCGGCGCAGGTGCGGGCGCCATTGCGCCGCCGGCGCTGCTGCAGCCGAGCCCGTGATCTGGTCGATGCCGATGTAGCTAGACGATTTGGTTGTACTATCCGTCGTAATTCTGGATCTTTGCAGGGTGGAGTGCGCGCGCCGATGGCCGCGGCGGCGCCGCGCGCGCTTGCCCGGCTTGAGGACTGGGGCGATGGCCTGGTCGACTTCTTGGGTTGCCGCTAAGACGGCTGACGGATGAGCCCGATGTCGTGTCGTGGCGAAACGGTCGTCCACGTATACGTAGAGAACAGCATCAGGAACAGCTCGTGCAAGCGTAACGCGCCGCATCGCTGACGTACTATCGCAGCGTCGACGGGCGAGGGGGCGCCCCTGCGAGACATCCGCAAATGCCGAACTTTGAAGCCAAACGTCAAAAGGATGACCGCCCACAAACATTAAGCGTGTTAGCCGCTGGTAACGCTCCCGGGCGCGCGCGCAAAACGGCGTGTCCAAGTGCTCGTGCGGCGCGCGGATATCTCGTAGGCCCAGGCGGTCGACGCTGTTCTCGAGGTCCATGGGCATGACGAAGTGAGGCTCCGTAACGCCAGGCCGCGCGCGAGGGAGCTCGGCCAGGAGCTCCCGCTACGCTTCTGGGCGCGACTGGCCAGGAACAGCTCCAGATAGACCCTTCGGCTTCCAGGCGACAGGCCGCTGCGCGAGCACCGCTGCGTGGCGTTTCGCCCGCGGGCGGTAAGTCATCGGTCGCGCTGAGAGGGGTCGGCGGTCGTCTGCGCCCTCCCAGATCGGCGCGGCCCGCGCGCGGGGCCGGATGTGGGGGCCTAGCTTTTTTTTTCTGTCAAAAGCAAGGGTGGCCTCTCAGGCGTGGGCGTTCTAGCCGGGCTGCGCTATGACCGTCGAGCCCGCGAGCGCCATCTGGCTGGCGCGCGGGGATGCGCTCTGGCCGGTTCGGCCCGGGCGCCTGGTGAGCGGGGTCCCCCAGCAAGTCAGAGAAATCGAACTCCGGCCGACGGGCGCGCGCAGGGTGGGGTTTTGGGTTTTGGGAACTTTTTTTTTCGTCTGGTTGGCCAGGTAGTCATGGAACTCGCTGGAAATCCAAGCGAGGACCAGGCAGATGTGATACGTCGTAAACCCAGTTTCCCACCGCTCGGTAGGCCCAGCTTCGCGCAGACGGGCGAGCTCCCAAGCGTAATAAACTGCAGTACGAAAAGCTGGGAATACAGCTTCTCGCATCGATTCCACGCGCCGCTTGACCCATCGCGTCGCGCCGCCTCTCGTCGAAACAGCCTCGCGCCACGACTGCAGGGAGGCGCTGATGGCGTCGTCGACGATCCTGGAGGCGATTGCGCCCGAGGCGGTCTCGGCCTCGTCGGCGAGCCCGTCGCGGGGCCGGCGTCGGAAAGTCCCCCGCGGGCCGCCGAGCCGCCGAGCTCCTGCCCCGGCGCGCCGGCCACCTCCAGGATATTGACGAAGTGCGCGGACCTCCGGCGGGCCGGATGCATCGGCCCAGGTGGCCCAAGCAGCGCCCAGTTGATGCGCGTCGCGAGGGGCGCGTCGAGCTCGTCCTTAAGGCGCGGGCGCCA